TAGCAGAGAGCTAGATCCAAAGCAGAGCAGCCAGGAGAAACTGGCAGTCCGATATGGGATCTGGGTTTCCCAAGCAGTGGTTTAGCCTGATTGTACCGCAACACCAACCCTCTGCATGCTTAATTTAAATTTTATTTGAGAGGCAGAGACAGTTCCCGTTAGCTGGTTCACTCCTCAGATGCCTACATCAGCCAGGGCTAGGCCATGCCAAAGCCAGGAGCCAAGAACTCAATCAAGGTTTCCCAGATGGGTGACAGGAACCCAATGTCTTGAACCATGGCCTGCTGCCTCCTGGGGTGTGGTACGCTTTTTGCTGTGGTGTTATATAGAAGCCAAATAGGCATTAGGTAAGAGTTGGACTTACGGCTTGTAAGAGATTGTTTGAACTCTTAGATCCGTGATTCTAAATATGGCATTGCTATCTTCAAGGCTCCTTCTCTAGTTCATTAGTGCAATAGATAGATGTGTAACAGAAGAATATTTTATGCCTGAATGCTAAAATGACCACTACCAGTTTTGTTGAAGTCAATGATCCATTTATGTCTAAGCCATTAATGTGGAAAGACATGAAAGAAGTTTAGTATGAGCTTGTGGTGAGGTTGGAAAGGAAAAGTCCCACCTGAGTAGAGGCCAAGCAGGGGTGAGAATGGGGCACAGTATAGATGGTATCTGGGAGCTGGGTATGCAGGATGGGAAATAACTGGACAGAAAGATCACCAGTGTTGAGGACATATTGGGCTAAGTAAGCCACTTGGGTCTGATCTTACAGTCTTTTGGGTTGTGTTTTACAAAGTGATCCATTGGTGTGGGGTATCATTTGAAAAAGCAAGAGTCTGAAAGCAAGGGGAAAAATTAAACTAATTCTGGCAGAAGGTGTAGAGTTTTATCCCTTCTGTCTCACTTGGTAGCTAGCCACTTAGTCCCACATGTAAGACTTGTAGGAATGAATTCATAGAACTATGAATAAGTGGATTCTGTGAGTAGAAGATTTAAAGATCTTGATTGATTGAGAAGAGGAGAAGAGAGAGGGGGAAATCTCACTGACAGAAGTGGGAAGATGAATAGGAGAAACTCATTTTTGAGAAGTTCCTGTTTTTCTTTTGTGAACTATGATACAGTGAGATGTCTAAGAACAAATGCCTAGTTACTCACTATTGAAGGTTTGTGTGTGGAGAGTCTGGGGGTGATTGTGTGGTATTTAAATGGTGGAGTAAAGCAGACCCCCTGGGATGTGGAGTATGGAGAAAGGAGCTGGATGGGGCCCTAAAAAATGCCTTCAGTCCAGGTCGAAGCAGCCAACAGAGTTGGAGAGTTCAGAGGAGGACCAAGATTGCGTGATCTTTCTGGAAACCAAGGGATGAGGGAAAACAATTCACATCGAATTTTAGTTTCAAGGAAAACTAGGCTGTTAGATTTGTCAAAAGGCATTTTATTAATTCTTTTTAGGTAGGGAAAGGACCTGATTTCTGAGGGCTTAAGGAAAGTAAACGAACAAGGGAAGGGGAAAAGAGCACTCTTGAAAGGCACTGAGAAGGAAGAAAGGGCTGAGTCAGCCCAGACTCCGCAGCTTGATCCAGGACTCTCCTGCCTGTGAGGCAGGTAGATGCTGGCAGCACACCAGGAGAGCATAAACAGGCATCTCCTCCTGGAGGTCTGAGAGGAATCAAGGTGCCTGCTGGCTTGGCTTCCATGGGACATAATGCTTTCCACTGAAAACGTCTTAGAGGCTGCTGTTTCCTTTTTAGGTAGGAACAAATGTTATTGGTGCTGAGGGTGAGATGGAGAACAGGATTAGAATTTAAAAAAAAAAAATATATATATATATATTTTTTATTTTTTTATTTTTTTTTTTTTTTGACAGGCAGAGTAGACAGAGAGAGAGACAGAGAGAAAGGTCTTCCTTTGCTGTTGGTTCACCCTCCAATGGCTGCCGCGGCCGGCGCACCGCGCTGATCCGATGGCAGGAGCCAGGAGCCAGGTACCTATCCTGGTCTCCTATGGGGTGCAGGGCCCAAGCACTTGGGCCATCCTCCACTGCACTCCTGGGCCACAGCAGAGAGCTGGCCTGAAAGAGGGGCAACCGGGACAGAATCCGGCGCCCCAACCGGGACTAGAACCCGGTGTGCCGGCGCCACAAGGCGGAGGATTAGCCTAGTGAGCCGCGGCGCCGGCTAAAATATTTTTTTAAAGATTTATTTATTTGAAAGGCAGAGTTACACAGAGAGAGATCTTCCGTCCACTGGTTCACTCCCCAAATGACTGCAATGACTAGGGCTGGCCAGGCCAAAGTCAGGAGCCTGGAGCTTCTTCTGGTTCTCCCAAATAGGTGCAGGGGCCCAGGGACTTGGGCCATCTTCTGCCTTCCGAGGCCTATTAGCAGGGAGCTGGATCAGAAGTAGAGCAGCTGGGACTCCAATCGGCACCCACAGGGATGCAGGTACTGCAGACAGCAATTTTTAATCTGTTGCGCCACAGCGCCAACCCCATGGATTAGGATTTTTAATGCCTTAAATTATCCATATTATTTTATCTCTTGGGTTTTGAAGCCAATCTTTAGATTTCACTCAAAGGCAGGCATCTGGCACAGTGATTAAGATGCCTTTTGGTGTGCCCACAACCCCTATCAGAGTGCCTGTGTTCGAGTTCCCACTTAGCTTTGATTCCAGTTTCCTATTAATGCACACCTTGGGAGGCAGCAGATCATGACTCCAGTAGTTGGGTTCCTGCCACTTGTTTGGGAGACCTTGACTCAGTTCCAGGTTCCTGACTTTGGCCTGGTCCAACATAAGCTGTGGTCATTTGGGGAACCAGTGGATGAAAAATCTATTTCTGCCTTTCAAAAAAATTTTTTTAAGATTTCACTTAATAATATAGTGGCTATTTACTTCTGTGATATTCTCAGATGTTACAAATTTGGATTACAGTGAAAGAGGAAATGGGAAGAGGGAATTATGCTGTTCCTAAAGAATCCTAATATGTTAGGAAGCAAGGCAATCTTACTGGCCAGGAAACAAGCCACAGTTAACACCGGTCCTCCTGGGAGGTCAGGAGTTGAAAAGTACTGAGCATGCACTCCTGTTTTACATATTAAAAAGTCAGCTGCGCGCCTCCTTCCTACCCCTGCAGTGCCTCCTTCCCTTCCCCCTGCAGTGATGTGGCCTCGTGGTGTAAGCTACCGCCTTTGACAGCATCATCCCACATTAGCACTGGTTTCAGCTGTAACACTTCCTATCTTGCTCCATGCTGTTGTTCCCCAGGAAAGCAGCAGAAGGTAGCCCTCCACCCACGTAGAGACCCGGAATGTTCCTGGCTTGTGGCTTATGTCTGGTCCAGTCCAGGTTGTGGCCATTTGAGGAGTGAACCAGCAGATGGAGAATCTCTCTCTGTTCTGTGCCTTTCTTCTTAGATTTCAGTGTCCTGGTGACGTTAGCTAACTTTAATCAGATCCTGTTCCTCAAAATGTGGTTCACTGTCCAGCAGCTCCAACAATACCTAAGAGCTTGCTGGAAATGAAGATTTTTTTTTTTTTTTGACAGGCAGAGTGGACAGTGAGAGAGACAGAGAGAAAGGTCTTCCTTTGCCGTTGGTTCACCCCCCCAATGGCCGCCGCGGCCAGTGCGCTGCAGCCGGCGCACCACGCTGATCCGAAGCCAGGAGCCAGGTGCTTCTCCTGGTCTCCCATGCGGGTACAGGGCCCAAGAATCTGGGCCACAGCAGAGAGCTGGCCTGAAAGAGGGGCAACCGGGACAAAATCTGGCACCCTGACTGGGACTAGAACCTGGTATGCCGGTGCCGCAGGCGGAGGATTAGCCTATTGAGCCGCGGCACTGGCCGAAAAATGAAGATTCTTAGGCCCAGTTGTCCATCTATTTGCGTGTGATTCTGTTAACAAAATCCCTGGGTGATTCATATGTGTAATAGTGTCAGAGCATACAGTTAAATGTTCAGAGGTAAGAGTAAAATTTTTCAAAGGAAATATAAAGCTTGGACTATTAGAATGGAATAATTCTCTGGAAAACTTCACCTTAGCTTCAAAAACCAGCAGAAGGGCAGGCATTTGGCCCACCAGGTAAGATGCGATATGGGATACCTGCAAACGTATCAGAGTGCCTGGGTTCCGATCTCATCTGTATTTCCAATTCCAGCTTCCTGGTGATGCATACCATGTGAGACAGCAAATGATGGCTTGGAATACTTGGCTCTCTGACACCACCTAGGAGACCCAGATTAAATTCCAGGCTCCTGGCATTGACCTGGCTCAGCCCTGGCTGTGGAACCATTTGGGGAGTGAACCGGTGGATAGAAGATCTCTGTGTCTCTGCCATTCAAATAAATAAAAATTAATTTTGAAAATTGGACTTAAAAAAAAAACTGGGGCTGGCGTTGTAGCATAGTAGGTAAAACTGCCGGCTGTGACACTGGCATCCAACATGGGCGCCAGTTCATTACCCAGCTGTTCTGCTTTTGATCCAGTTCCCTGCTAATGGCCTGAGAAAAGCAGCAGAAGATGGCCCAGGTTCTTGGGTACCTGCCACCCACATGGGAAGCCCTCGTGGGGCTCTTGGTTCCTGGCTTCTGCCTGACTCAGCCCCAGTTTGGGGAGTGAACCAGCAGATGGAAATTATTTCTTTCTAACTCTAATTCTAACTTTCAAATTAATTAATTTATATTTTAAAAGAGGCTGAAATATGCCTCATTTTTTCATGCTGGCATATCATTTTACTGGTACGTTAGCTGAGCACTTGAGCCTGCTTCTGTCGTTGCCCAGGACAAGTAGTTATTTGGTAAATATATGAATATTTGAGTATGAATAGCTCCTGGTTTCTTGCTACCTAGCTGAGCTTGGGGACCAGCTTTTTGTTGTCTAGGTTTATTGGGGGAGTGACAGGATGCCTCTGAATGCTTTAAAAAGCCAGAATGTTTGAAGGATTTTAATCTTAAACTATTTCTTTTCTCTTTTGTCCATTTTATGATAGGAGAGAGGGCCATTAGTTATTGCCTAGGTTTTTGATGTTTTATTTTCAAAGCACTAACAGAAATGCCACTAGCAATTTCAGTGGCCAGAGAAGTCAGGCCACTCTGAGGTTGGTGACCTGTTCTCTTTATGTCTGTGACCATGTATCTGTGCTTGCTTCCCTTGAACTGGTGCCCAGGTGCTCTCACATTCTCGAAAAGGAAATCCCCACCCCCTCTGTCATATCTACCCAGATTGCTCAGAGCAGTGTGTACCCCAGGCGTGTAGCTGTCCCTTCTCTAGAACACTGGTTCTCTAGCAGGGCTGGCCAATGCGCTTCTCCATCTGAATCACACTGCTCCAGCTCTGACACTGCCTAGTGCCTGCTGGAGGCTGCTGCTTGCAGCGGATGACGGTATGCTTGTTCCTGGGCCCATTTCCTGTTTCTATTCTAGTCACTGGGAGCTCAGCTCTGCTTCCTGCCTGTGTGTCTCACACAGATTCCTCTTGCTGGAACCTTTTGTTTTCTGAACAGCTTCAGACTGAAAAGCAGATGAGCAGTACTTCTAGTATGGTGGCTCCTGGAGTCAGCTGGTCCTACTGAGTGCTAGCTGGAAGTGCCTTTCCCACAAGCACACCGTGAGAACTGGACCATGTGTTTCAGGTTCTTCCCAGACTGCTTCAAGAAGCTGTGGACCAGAAATGGATTTAAGAAGCCAAGTGGAGCTAAACTTAGTCTTCCTCACTCACTAGCCACACAGGATCTGGTATACCCTGGTCCTTCTGCACCTGGAGTTTATAAACATATTTCCTGCTGCTGAGGGAGGTAGTTGTGCCCTGTCGAACCAAGCCTCCCTGAAGTATAAATGGTGCTTATTTTGGGTTGGTCAGGTAATGCCACTCTCAGCAGAAGAGCAGCCTACAGAGAACATCAGGATGGAAAAGAAGCACGTGCTGACTCACCCTTCCATCCTGTGGGAGCGATTCACCCCCTCTCCCCCCAGAGCTTCAGAGGGAGATTATAAAAAGGAAGAAATGAAGACGATTGTTCTGGACAAATGTGTTTAAAGGTTTAAGGACCCCTCTTGCCCATCTGCCCCCAGAAAAGCATTAGCATAGAAAAGAATATACTTTGTGGATAAATCTGTTCTTCACACTACTCTTGGGATTATCTGATGTTTCTGTACTGAACCCAGGCTAGGTATGTTTTATAAAGAGGCTTTAATATATGGAATTTGCACTTAAAACATTATTGGAAGGATTGAGGGAGCATATTTTAGCCTTGGCCTCCAGGAATAGGACCCAGATTTGATTTACAGGGAAGCTCCTATCTCTGAGCCACTACTGGATTACATACTCTCAAGTTATCCCTTAATATGACCCAAAGATCAGTAAGATGGAATCAAGAAGCAGTTGCTGCTGTCAGAAACAGCACCAGGTTAAGTGAGGAATGGGCTAAAATGTTATTGTGGGAACAAATGATGGAGACAAATATGATATGTGCCATATTTTGATATCTTGAGAGTTATGGAAACTGAATTGCATATGGAATGGAATCTTTAGCTTTTTAACCTCTACAATTAGAAAAAAGTAGAATGAAGACAATATGAGCCAGTCCAACAGAATATTCACCACACTATCACCACCTGTTTCCTGTCTCTTCTACCTCTCACTTTACGTATGAAGAACCTAATGCCCATAAAGGGTAAGGGACTTGCCCGGGGTTCCCTGACTTCCAATCCAGTGCTTTTACTATTACCAACTTCCACAAGGAACAGCAAAAAGATCCCTTCAGAGAAGGAAGAACAGCATAATCAGAAAAATATTTTGCCTTCCATAGTCTGGTCTCTTTGGAGAAAGAAAAGGAGGAGGTATGAAGGGATATGTGGTTCAGATTACTAAACAAAATTAGTGATGCTATGGCTTCTGGACTTAGATCTGTTCCCCCGAGAGGATGTAAGAAGCATTTACAATGAGAAGAAGACTCAAAAACTAATCTCCTGACATTTTTTAGTCAACATATTTGAACTCACTCACTTTAGTGACAGTGGCTTACCTCCACTCACTCCCTTTCCTGTTGGTGCCTTTATAACCTTCTGTTGAGCAGATTAGATTACTCCAGCAAGGTACATTCTCTGGCTTCCGTTATTGTCCTGTTTAAAAACAAAAAATTAAATACACATACACAAAATCAGATAATCAGCCTCCAGATACAAGGGGCCTTCAGAAAACTTGGGGAAAATGTATATTAGGAAAAACAATGCATGGATTTCAAGAATTTTTTTGCACCGAAATAAGCTTACTTTTTAATTCCATGTTCTACAAACTTTTAAAGTACCTATGCATATGGTTTCTTGTCTGTTTCTTGTCTATCCTTGGGGGACTTGAGTCTTTGGAACAGGAAGGAAGCCAGGTCCACCTGAAAAGGCTGCCTTTGCAAAAACCAGTAGGGCCCTGTAAACCAAGGTGAGAATCTGTTCTTTCAAACTTGTTCCAGAGGAGAGGACCCGTTAGGTGTGGAGTTATGTTAACATACCTGATAAATCAAGTATGTGGTTAGCTCTGTTGTCTTTTTCTCATGTTTCTAAGATAGTTGGTGTTTTACCTGAAAGTTTCACTGAAGTTGGTACATGTTCTAGTTCCGTTTCTTTGGGAACTAGTACTTGATCTTCCCTTGATCCATCTAATGTGAAGTAAACCTGTTCCATCTTCTCCACCTGGTATCAGCATAGAATTGGCTAGTATTGTGACATAATCTCTTACTGTGAGGTGGAACTTAACTCTAAGGTGCTACCTTCCTTTCATTTGGCCTTTCTCAAGGAAGCTAACAAGCCTTGCCTTGCTGAAGGTGGGAGCTAGGGATTGAAGGAATGAGCATGGGAGTCAGCAAACCTGTCCCTAAGACCAGCCAGCCTCAGTGTGGGAGGAAGAGTGTTTACTGAGAGGAGTAAAGGTAATTTCCTTACATTTTGGTGGAAGTAGGGGAGAAAACAACATTCAGAGGCAGTGTTACCAAAAATATCCCTTTCCCTTCATATTCTTCCTCCAGAGCTTATGTATGGTTTCCCTGTGTTCAGAGCTGTTCTTGTGGTTTTAAAGACTTTTGGGATTGGTGGCTGTCTTTTCTGGCTTATGATTCTATCCATTCTCCACTCATATCTATTCCATCTAAATATTTTAATTTTGCTAGACCAGTAGGCCATGGTAGGGAAAGACCATTGGCAGATACCAACTTAGAACTATTAAGCTACAAAATCAGGCCAGCGCCGCGGCTCACTAGGCTAATCCTCCGCCTAGCGGCGCCGGCACACCGGGTTCTAGTCCCGGTCGGGGCGCCGGATTCTGTCCCGGTTGCCCCTCTTCCAGGCCAGCCCTCTGCTGTGGCCAGGGAGTGCAGTGGAGGATGGCCCAGGTGCTTGGGCCCTGCACCCCATGGGAGACCAGGAAAAGCACCTGGCTCCTGGCTCCTGCCATCGGATCAGCGCGGTGCGCCGGCCGCAGCGCGCAGGCCGCGGCGGCCATTGGAGGGTGAACCAACGGCAAAGGAAGACCTTTCTCTCTGTCTCTCTCTCTCTCACTGTCCACTCTGCCTGTCAAAAAATAAAAAAAAATAAATAAATAAAATAAAATAAAATAAGCTACAAAATCAAGGAGCTGTCAGGCCCCTAGTTCTAAGCTATGTTCAACACAGTGCCAGTGTTGCTTTCTTTACTTGTCTTTGCTTGCTTTCTCATTGCCGTAATCCTCAGGGGCAACCAGGCTTGCTATAGATATGAGAAACAGATGACGTAGAATCCTAAGGCAATGCTGCCTTCCTATTACCCTTATACCCAGCATGCTGCTTGCTTTCCTGTGTCCTGTCCTCTCACAATCCCCTTTGCTACCCTCCTTGTTCAGGTTCTAGGATTACAGCTGATTATATTCATCATGAAACACACTCTGTGTGTTTGGCCTTTCTAATGGGGAATACTTGATTTTGAGGAAATGGATGGTTCCTAAATTCTTTACCTCCTCTAACTTTATAGAGCTCTTGTTTCCTGCTGGGATTAGAACAGCCCCATTCCATAAATATGCACTGCTCTTGGCTGCTCTAACTCAGGCCCAGCTCTGACCCAGTTTCATTTTTTTTTTTTTTCCAGATTTGAGTCTGTTAACTAGTGACCCTCAAAAATCTGTATATTTTTGGCCAAGAGGTGGTTACTGACTGGATAAGACATTCTCTGGCCCAAGTGAGAACCTTCAGATGGGGGCAGGGTATATGTACAGGGGGGCTGGTCATTTATGCAGGCCTCATGAGGACTGGGACAAACCAGAGAGCAGGGTTTCAACCTATTAGTGCCCGTAAGAGTTGGAAGATCTTCTGTTTTTTGTGTGTGTGTGTGGTTTTTTTTTTTTTTTTAAAGATTTATTTATTTATTTGAAAGAGTTACACAGAGAGAGGAGAGGCAGAGAGAGAGAAAGAGGTCTTCCATCCACTGGTTCACATCCCACAATGGCTGGAACTGCGCCGATCCAAAGCCAGGAGCCAGCGTCTTCCACACGGGTGCAGGGGCCTAAGGATTTGGCCCATCTTCTACTGCTTTGCCAGACCAAAGCAGAGAACTGGATCAGAAGTGGAGCAGCCAGGTCTCCAACCCGTGTCCATATGGGATGCCGGCACTTCAGGCCAGGGTATTAACCCTCTGTGCCACAGTGTCGGTCCCTCTATTTGTTTTAGAAGTTGGAAGCCTGGAATTTTTTTGTAAAGTTTTTTGATTCATGTAAGAAGGAGAAAGACAAAGCTTCTATCCTCTGGGTCACTGCCCAAATGCCCACACAACTGGGACTGGGAACCTGATCCAGGTCTCCCATGTGAGTGGTAGGAACTCAATTACTTGCTGCCCTTACTGCCTCTTAGAACGTGGGACAGGACTCTAGCAGGAAGCTTAAGTCAGGAACCGGAGCCAGGCATCAAGGCCAGGCACTCTAGTGTGGACGTGTGTGTCCTAACTGGCGTTCCAACTTCCAGGCCAGCTATTCACCCAATTTTTTAAGTGTAAAATATCCTGGGGCTGGCACTGTGGTGTAGGAAGTTAAAACCATGGCCTGTGCTCGCTTCGGCAGCACATAAACTAAAATTGGAACGATATAGAGAAGATTAGCATGGCCACTGCACAAGGATGATATGTAAATTCGTGAAGTGTTCCATATTTTAGCAATATTTGGTGGCAAATATCCAATAAATAGTTTACATCTGTTTAAAAAAACAAAAGCAAAAAAACATGGCCTGCTGTAACAGCATCCATTATGGGTGCTGGTTCGAGTCCTGGCTGTTCCACTCCTGATCCAGCTCCCTGCTAATGTGCCTAGGAAAGCAACAGAGGATGGTCCAAGTCTCTGAGTCTCTTGCACCCATGTGAGAGACCCAGAAGAAGATCCTAGGTCCTGGCTTTGGCCTGGCCCAGCCCCAGACTTTAAGGCCATTTGGGGAGTGAACCAGCAAGTGGAAGATCAGTATTCTCTCTCTCTCTCTCTCTCTCTCTCTGAAATTCTATCTTTCAAGTAAATAACTCAATCTTTAAAAAAAAATACAAATAAATAAGTGTAAAATATCCTGATTTTTAGATGAGTCTGTGTTGGGATATTGGGCCCTGAATTAAAAGACTTTGTGGCCTGTGAGTCTCCCCACAGCTTCTTGTGGACTGCCCCATGTAGCATTGGCTCCTCTCTTGTATTTACTCCCTTCAAGCTTCACCTGGAATTTCTCTGGGGGTGGGAACAGTTGTGGGGAGAACGGTCACATCTGTCCTTTGCCACTCGTGGTGTTTAGTGTTTGTTTTATTGGCTTGGGGGGGGGGTGGATAGGAGTGAAGGGGAGATGCTGAGCAGAAGCACTCGATGTGATTAAACCTCCAGCCGAGCAGACCTGCGGGAGCAGAATATCGACCCCTGGAAAATCAATGGCTGCGGCAGTGGCCAGGCTGCCGTTCGCAGGGGCTCCCACCACAGGCATGCAAGCAGCCCGGCAGCCTTTCTTCCTTCTTACCTCGGCAACGCCCTTAGCCTCCACCCAAAGGGTCAGACCTGCCTCGAGAGATTTTGCTGAGGTGGGTTAGAACAGCAAGTTCTTGTATTTTGCAATTAGATTGAAATTTCTCCAGTGACACAGAGCCCCGCCTCTTGTCAGCCTCCTTTTCAGACGTTGCTTTGCTGCACTGCTGCAGGTCTGGCGACAGTTCTTACTCAGGTGGCCAAGGCCCAGTCAGGGTTATGCTCCCAGTTTTAGAGTTCATTCACTTAAATGTCAGCATCTCTCATTGGGGGGAGTATAGAGTTCAAATGCTGGGGTAAAGGTGGGGTTTGGAGATTAAAGGAAAAAGGGAGGACCAACAGAGTTTGGGTTTCGAGAGTGTACTTTGAAGCAGATTATCGAGTATCAAGCACCTTTCTTGCCTTTTTTGTGTCCTGGCATTTTTCTGCTCCAGTCCTGCAAGCTAGTGGAGAAAATGGGGAGCTAACAGCACACTGCCATCAGCCCTGTAACACTGAGTCTAGAGCAGCTTCCGGTGAGGACAGGGGGCCGGAGGGGTCACGACCATCGTCCTGTATCTTTGGTTTGCAATCTGGTTCAGCAGAATGGCTGGCAGATCTCTCCTGCCAGTGTGGAAGCTTCTGATTCCTCTATTGCTCCCAGAGAGCCATTGTCATCTTTGAAGTTCCCAAGGCTAAAAGATTAGTTTAGTCTATAGTTGGGCCTATGGTGCATCTTTCTTTCTTTTTTTTTTTTTTTTAAGATTGATTTGTTTACTTGAAAGTCAGAGTTACACAGAGAGGAGAGGCAGAAGGAGAGGTCTTCCATCCACTGGTTCACTCCCCAACTGGCTGCAACAGCTGGGGCTGCAACGGCTGGAGCTGCGCCGATCTGAAGCTAGGAGCCAGAGACTTCTTCCAGTTCTCCCACGTGGGTGCAGGGGCCCAAGGACTTGGACTGTCTTCTGCTTTCCCAGGCTGTAGCAGAGAGCTAGAATGGAGTGGAGCAGCCGGGACTCGAAGCGGTGCCCATATGGGCTGTTGGCACTGTAGGCGTCAGCTTTACCCGCTATGCCACAGCGCCGGCCCCCTTTGGTGCATCTTGAAGCAATTGGTCCTCCCACCTAGTTTACTCTGGTGGCTGGGAAATTGGCCAGCCTGATGTATGTTAACTCTGTGGCTCATTCTTGGAGCTTATCTGTGGCCAGGAGGTTGAAACTTGCCTGACTTCTGCTTCCAGAAAGGAACTTTCCCGTCATTTAGCTTCAGAAACCAGCACCCTGAACAAGAGACCCAGTTGTTGTGCTGTTTGGAAGTATGACTGCCAGGCTGGGTGAGGAACAAAGTGGGAACATTTGAAATTTCCTGAGATGAGGCCATCTAGAGGCCAGGGATATCTTTACGTCTCTGTCTGAGCCACACCCTTGTGCTTGATAATAGAACCAGATTCCCCCCTTTACAGAAATTCTCTTGCTGCTTGTTGTCCTACAATTCGAAGACATCTTCCCAACACCCTCCCTTACATCATGTGCCCCTTAGAAAACCCAAGAGTGAGAAAAAGTATATGCCCATAAGCACAAAGTAGATTTAAGATAAAAGTGCTGATTTGAAATAGACCGTGAAGGTTACAGGAAGCATGGAGAGGGACAAGGGGGTACATGCAACCTTGTAGATTTATAGAATTGGATTAT